TGTAGGACAAGAGTAGTAGAGAGAGCTGACGATCGAAATGTCCAACCGTCTTTCCGCATCGACATTGTTTGCGGGGCCCGAAAACGACACGGGACGGAAGCAATGTTAAAGACGAAACCTTACCTATTGAATGCTCCCCCTCTTAATCACTCGCCTTCCCCAAGCCCTAGCCAACCATCGTTGCTCGATTCGTCGGTTGCTGCTTGCCTTCCACTACCTCATTATTCCCCTCTCGACCCTCTCCTCCCCATCACTCACGACCCCCGCGCCATGTCCGCCGTCCGCTCCGTCCTCGCGCCTCTGCGAAGGTCCGCCCTCGCCGGACGACGGACCTTCACCTCGTCTTCCTCCCGCCGTTCCGAGTCTCTCTTTGTGGTGCGTCGGGTTGTTTCCCCACCACCACCATCTTTCTGAGCGAGGCGCTGATGTCCGTAGCACCGGGATACCGACTACAACAACCCCAGCGTGAGTGGAGGGTCTCGGTCCTCGTCTGCTTCAAGATCTGGCTGTGTCTACTCAGGAGCGCGATTGCCGAGAACCCACTGATCCCGTGCAGATCCCCTTCGAGTTCGACGCCGAGAACCTCAAGCGCGCCAACGAGATCATCAGCCGATACCCGCCCCAGTACAAGAAGGCGGCGGTGATGCCGGTTCTGGACCTGGGGCAGAGGCAGAACAAGGGCTGGACCTCGATCTCGGTGATGAACGCCGTGGCGAAGTTGCTGGAGATGCCCCCGATGAGGGTGTACGAGGTGAGCGGGGCGAACGATCACCTTGGGACCCCTCCCCGACGTCCTCCCCACCACTTCTTTCCTCATTTCCTCTCCTACCCTCTCTTCCACCCTCCCCCCGCACCATCCTCTCTTCCACCGGCTCCCCACCAATCCCTCCCCGACACCTTCCGAGCAGTGTACAGGCGCAGACCAAGCTGACCCACGTCCCCCGCCAGGTCGCATCCTTTTACACCATGTACAACCGCGAGCCCGTCGCGCCCAACTTCCTCCAGCTGTGCACCACCTCCCCTTGCCAGCTCGGTGGGTGCGGCTCCACCAAGATCCTCGAGACGATCGAGAACCATCTCGGCATCCACGCTGGCCAGTCCACAAAGGACGGCAAGTTCACGCTCATCGAGGTGGAGTGTCTAGGCGCGTGCTCGAACGCACCGAGTAAGTCGAGCGTGGGGCTACCTCCCTGAACCTCGGTTTCGTCCGTGGCGTCGTCGCTAACTTTGCCAGTGATGCAGGTCGGAGATGAATACTATGAGGACCTGACCCCGGAGACGACGATCAAGATCCTCAACGCGCTCGCGAAGGGCGAGAAGCCTCAGCCCGGCCCCCAGTCCGGCCGGAAAACCTCTGAAAACTCGGCTGGTCTGACGACGTGAGTGGAATACGGCCATCTCGGTTTTGGTAATGTCAATGTGGCGTGTCGCTGACTTGATTTAATTCTTTGCCGGTAGACTGACCAGCAAGGTGAGCTTTTCGCGAGCTAGAATCACACTGGACCGCGCTGATGCCGTCGCAGCCGTACGGACCTGGCGAGTTCTGCTTGCCCGAGTTCCAATAGATCAGATAAGAGTATTGGGCATCGGATGCATTTGGTCGAGCAGGCCGCCATCCTGAGCTCTGGCATTCGCATCACCGCACCTGCGATGGCTGACTCCGCTGACTGTGGAGCACTGCCTTTTGATGTCCTGCTTCCTCGCAGCGAGCTTGTTCAAAGGAGAGCTCGAAGACGCTGGTCAGGATCATCCTTTCTACGGCTGATCCCAAGATGACACCGACTTGACGTCAGCAGGAACGAGTACGACTGGAACACAGCTCGAGAACCATCAAGGTGCCTGCGTGCTCCTTGGCCAACTCCGGGTAGTTGCCCGGACAATTGGAACTATATTCGGAATTGCACCGTACTCGCCCGCAGCCATTGAAAGGTTGGCACTGTGCCGTAGCTCGGTCTTCGCGCCGTTCAGCATTCTTCGGCGCTCGGCCCGTCGGTGAACAGAGTTCGTGTCTCAAAGGAGACTTTGGTCGGAGTTGACCAGTGAAGAAATTCATGCAGACGATCGCTTACAAAACGAGTACATAGTGTATGAGAAGTATAAGAACTGACAACCAGGTCCCACTTCTCTCGAGCCAAGGTTTTCCTCCGTTTTTACGCAATCCAAATGTTCGCATCTCGGTCCACATTGTCCACGGAGAGTGCCGACAGAGCTGTCAGGTCCTGGAGACCGTCTCACGGCTTCGAAACCGCCCGACTGGTGAAAATTACACCTGCAACCGAGGGCGAATCGTACAAGCTGTCAATCGCTTTACTGAAACGCCCGCCCGAGGAAGGTTTGTCTGTTGAAGGAACTCTTCCCGGTCGACGCCGTTGCCAGGATTTCACGGCGGGCATGTCTCAGCTGCTCGATACGATCGCGGGCAAGGTTGGCGGACAACAGTGGGAGACGTTGTCCTGGACGTCCAGAAGCGATAGCTCCATCAAGTTAGAGGCGTCAAGGATCCCGCTCCCCTTCCCTCTAGACGGCGAGGTTATCGAGACTCGAACCGCATCCGTTGTCTGGGCAAGTGAGATTGAGGCGATAGAGGTCGCAGTCTCGCAGTCCACGCCGAGGCGTTTGAGTCTGGGTGACGGGAGTTATATCGTCGATATCGATCTACAATTCGGGGGAGCAAACGGAGCCGGCGACGCTGCATGATGATATGCAGAACTTGTTTTGTAAAGCAATGCGCTGTATGCTCCTCGCGGTAGTGTTGGCGGGCCTCTCGCGAGAGGAGGGGGGGATGGCCTTGCCGTGCCGAGATCGGTACCGCTTCGTCCACACACACTTATGAATTTCTGAAGCTTATTTGACGGTTGGATGCATGGGGGAGGACGGAAATTCTATCCTTACTCCACTATATACATAGTGGACATAGTGGTCTCGTGCAAAGCTCATGGCCGCATGTCTCCCGACCACGCACTCCCACTCCGCATCCACTGTAGGCAACGAAGTTCAATGGCCCTCGTCTACGACGGATTGAAAAACGTCTGACGTTTTTCGGGACCGGGGGGCGGGAGGGGGAAAGCGATCGTCGCGTCCGAGCTGTTGCTTCTTCCCAGCATAAAGGACTGGCTGGACAAAGGTTTCGCAGTAGAGGCCGTCAGAAGGGCTGTCGCCGGTACTACTGCAGCGTGGCCGGTACCCCGACCGCCGGCCTCTTTGCGTCGCATATGGAGACAAACCATGACCGAGCATTCCCGAAGGACGACAACCAATGTTAGTCGTGCGCACCATCATCGAGAGAAACCTCCGATGATAAAGACTCCGTCCTCTCGAACTGTCTGTCAGGGGGCAGAGGGTTTCGAGCACGGAAATGCTTCAGTAGAACAGAGGTCGTTCGTTCTGGCAAGCTTCATGTTACATGTTCTAGCAAACTCCGGGACAACGGCGACGCGCCAGAAGGACTGGGTGAACATCGTCCTGAAAGGACAGCGGAACACAAGGAACATAGGTCGATACATATTACCGATTGGTTCACTGAAGGGACGGGTTTCATGTAGCCGCAGGAAGCCCAGAGTCCTTTCACATCGGTTCTGCACTTCGGTTCTGCACTTCGGTTCTGCACTTCGGTTCTTCACTTCCCTCGTCTTCGATTGAATGCGGGTCGGAGTTGAATCGTTGCTCGGGAGATGATCGCGCCGTGATGTGGGCCACGACTGGCCGAGTGCAATATACAAAGCAGGCGCTACCTCGATTTTTGACCACACTCCATCGCCCAGCATGTCCAGAAACAGCAGCGCCTGGAGCACCAAGAAATTGGAAAAGAGCATCAACTCCTGGACACCTCGTCATGGTTTCACGGCTGCTCGGCTGATCGAGATCGAGTCAAGTGGGGACTTATGCACACTTACGATCGCCCTACTCAGACGTCCCGCCGATGAAAGTCAGCGCGTGAGGGGACACCTTCTCGAGATACGGTGTCGAGACTTGAGTTCCGGGATCACGCAGCTACTCGACCGTGTAGCTTACAACCCCAGAGGCTCCTCGTTTCAATCGACACCATGGCGTTCATCCAGCCGAAGCTCATCAGTCTGGTTACAAGTCTCGAAGAAACCGGAAACCTTCCCTCTTCGAAGCGAGGTTACAGAGACCACCACAGTTACCCAAGAGTGTGAAGGATCGTGCTACTCCGTGTTGGTAGAAGTGCCGAACATCATGACGCTGCAGGATGGGAGTTACCTCTTCCAAGCCACCGTCAGGGGCCTGGGTTGACTATATGGCGCGAGCTGGCAGAGGTAACCCTGCGAGGGCGAAGTAGCCAAGAACACAACGCATGTACTGTTTTGACTGCTATACGTGGTCCAGGCAAAGGTTGTAGTAGTCGGGGATGGATGCGAACGAGATATGCAACGTGGGAGAAGAGGAACGCAGACATACAGAACGAGAAAGAAAGCAAGGGAGGAATTGAAGGGAGAAGGTGAAGTGAGTGAACTGCCGGAAGTAGGGTATGTGGCGATCGCGCGAACGTTCCACCGCCTTCCTGACCATCACATTTCTATTCTCCTCAAGTCCCCGTACCCGTGCTCCTCAGAGCTGTGCGAGCGCACTCGACCACACACCGTCTTGGTCTGGAAGTGCCCTCGGGTGTCGAGTGGCACCCGGGTTTCCCACCAACACTGCCACAGTCGACACGACACGCACTCGAGGCTTCCTTCCCTCTTCCCGCGATCTTATCACGACTGGACAAACCGCAGAATAGGCTTGTAGGGCTACTGGCGGAGTGCGTCTCGGCTTTGCCGCCTGCCGCGCCCGCTCCCGTTTCGTGAGGCGCGGTCTCGGTTTGAGTCTGACAAAGATTTTATCAGACTCACGCAATGGTCTCTGGTTTAAAAAAGGTATGGTCAGAGCCGGGATTGGACCAAGCGACCGGAAGATGAGAACATTGCACTTAGGCAGGATGTCATCTTCCGGCAGAAGACTTTTCCAGTACATGATGGCACATATTCCTCTACAAACATGGTTCGATAGCTCAGTTGGGAGAGCGTACGACTGAAGCTCCACGAAGAGGTTCATCGTACGGTCGCTGGTTCAATCCCGGCTCTGACCATACCTTTTTTAAACCAGAGACCATTGCGTGAGTCTGTTAACATCTTTGTCAGACTCGAAACGCTCGCCGGGCGCAAAATCTTTATTTTTTTTCGCCGGTTCAATTGGTATGAAGGTGCTACAGAAGGTGCTCTGAAGCCCCTGCGCGGGCTATTCAGCTTGAGATGTGCGTTGTGACCAATTTGGGCTTAGGCATTGATTGAAGAAAATTCATTATGCCGGACAAGGCAATGAGAATTCCACGGACGATAGAAGTGCCACATTGCCAAACAAACGAGACCCACATTCAACAGCCACGCCTCGACCAGCCTGCACCGCAGTGCTGCTGCACTGCGCAGACGTTCAGTCCATAATCACCATGCCGTCTCGACTCGACTGCGCCGTGCCGGCGCAGGCCGTTGCCTGTAAGCGGCCAACCATAACCAAGCACGATCCCAAGTGCACATGCTTGTTCAAGATCTGGAAAAAGACCAAAAAGTTTGACATTGCTCCGAAGTCGAACTCAGAGGATATTTGGTCCCGACAGTATCTCAGGGCGGCCCGTGGTCAGTGCGTCCGACAGCGCTCGGTGCACGCTCTGGATAGTGCTGATGCTCCATCAACCCCTTCGGAAAGGTGACTCTTCTACCTGCACTTATGGCAGATAGAACCGTCGGTAGCGTGCATCCGAGCATCACTATGCCGCTGTGAGATCCACCGCGTCAATCCCACAAAGTGTTGCGCATTGGCCACGGTGTTCCGCACAGGGGTTGCAGGCTCTCTATTCGTGACACCCTTGCTCATCCAGAGCTCCTCCACTTCAATATGTCCTCCTCTATCCGCGACGAAGCTTCTCAAAGGTTCAGTGTCAAGACAGACACGTCACGCCGCAATATGACTCAGCAGATGACATTCATAACGCTACGAGGATGACAATATGACCAGATGAATGCGCTAACTCGACACCACTCGCACTGACGCCCCTTCCGCTGTCTATTTTCCGTCTATGAGCCGTACCACGAGTTGTGGAGGCCGACCATGTCGTTGGGGCTCGGCATCGCCGTGGGCCCGACTTTTGGCGAGTGGTTTGACAACCCGATCAACGAGTCGGAGCCATCTGCATCGTCAGCGCGGCGCAACGCACACACGGGACCTCGCTTACTCATTGGCCCGCTGCAGCCCTCGACGAGGAACTCCTGCTCCTGCACCTTGCCGTGCAGTTTCTTTGCCTTTGCATTGTCGTTCCTCAACTTTTCAATGTGCTCGAGGTATCGCTCGTCGACGCCGCCGGTGACGTATTTCCCGGTGAAAACGGAGCACTCAAACTCCTGGATCGACGGGTTGAACTGCCTGCAGCTCTGGACGAGGTCTTCGAGGGTCTGGTAGATGACCAGGTCTGCGCCGATCTCCTGGGCGATTTCCGCCTGGGTCCGCCCGTGCGCGACGAGCTCGTGCCTCGAGGGCATGTCGATGCCGTACACGTTGGGGAAGCGGATGGGAGGGGCGCACGAGGCGAAGATGACCTTTTTCGCCCCGACGTCCTTTGCCATTTGCACGATTTCTTTGGAGGTGGTGCCGCGGACGATGGAGTCTGGGGATGAGCACGGGTCGGTATCCACGACTCACCATCGACGAGCATGACCACCTTGCCGGCGAATTCCATGGGCATGGCGTTGAGCTTTCTCCGGACGTTCTTGCGCCTGACACGTCAGCCGGATCCCGCCTCGCCGTATCCCGCCTGACTGTTGCTCACCTTTGCGACTGTCCCGGCATGATAAACGTCCGCCCGACGTATCGGTTCTTGACGAAACCCTCTCGGTACGGGATACCGAGGTGCTGGGCACACTGGAGCGCCGCCACACGCGACGTATCCGGAACCGGAATCACCACGTCCACGTTCAACCCCGCCTTGGCCAGCTCCTTCTTTGCCGTCTCCGCGAGGAGATCTCCCATCGCCATGCGCGAGCGGTACACGCTGATGCCATCGATGGTCGAGTCGGGTCGCGCAAAGTAGACGTACTCGAAAATGTCCGGGGCGAGGACCTCTGGCTGGCCAACGATCCTCCGCGTGATCTTGTTCCGAGTGATGATGATCGCCTCTCCCGCCTTGACGTCGTCCCATCCGTGGAAGCCGAGACCCTGCCCGACAACACTCTCCGATGCGACGAGGTAGTCGGTGCCGCCTCGTACGCCAGCGCGCGTCGCGAGACCGCAAGGCCTGATCCCGTTGGGATCCCGGAAGACGATCAAGCCGAAACCCGCCAGCATGGCGATGGAAGCGTACGCCCCCTTGCACGTCTTCATGAGGTCGCTGATGGCGGTGAAAATGTCCTCCTCGTTGATACGGAACTTGCCGGTCTTTTGCAGGTTGTTGGCAAAGATGTTGAGTAGCAGCTCAGAGTCGCTGTCCGTGTTGATGTGTCGATGCGCTTCGGCGTCGATGAATTGCCGGAGCGACGCGGTGTTGATGAGGTTGCCGTTCTGCGAATCAGCCGAAAGTCGATGCCTGCGACGTGTCACTCACGTGTGCAAAGACGATGCCGTACGGCGAGTTGACGTAGAACGGCTGAGCCTCTGCCTGAGCCGAGCTACCCGCGGTGGGGTATCGCGCTGATACGGATTAGCCACGACGTCACGTCGCAGCCGGTTCCACTCACCGTGTCCAACGCCCATCCAACCCTTGAGCCCCGCGACGGCCTGCGCGTCGAAGATGTCCCGCACCATTCCGTTCGCCTTGACCTGGTAGAACCTCCCGCCAGACCCGCAGGTCACGATACCCGCGGCATCTTGACCACTAAAAGTCGTCAGACGACCGCGCCGACGACCACGCCATCGCCGCCACGGAACCCTGCTCACCGGTGCTGAAGCAGCGACAAGCCCTCGGCACTGTGATCCTTGGTCAGCGAGTCACACCGAATGGGTGAAAATCCGCATACAGCTCTGTCCCGGCAGCCGACGTCTGGGTCGACAGAGGGTCGTGAAGGAGGAGACCTAGGATACCGCACACTGAGGATTTGTCAGCGGACATGAAAATAGCGGTGCGATTCCGGACCCACTCTTCGGACGTCCGACGCTGTCGCTGTCGCAGGGGTCTTGCGGCGGGTTGGTGAGTAGGGGAGCTGTATAGCCCTTGAGGCTTGGAGGAATGTGATGTTGATGATGTCCTCGACGGCAAATCTTTGGCGGTGGTCGCGTCCGAGGTCCGAGCCGAAAAACAGTCAGCGACGAGTCGGGGATCACGGGACCGGAACCAAATTTATCAGATACCCCGGAGCAAGAGTGACGTGTAAAAGACAGGGCAATGTGGCACCGGGTCGGGCTCCGTCGCTTACGTACACACTCGTCACCCAACCCACCCTTGCCTCGTCGCGCGGACCGATCGTCTCGGCGCAGTAGTAGTGTAGACATCGACCAGTACTCAACTCTTCTCACAACTCTCTCCTATGCCCCCATCCTAGGACGATACGATCATCCCCAGCCCGGCCGGACGATCCCACTCTCCGCGCCGCCGCCATGTCGCGGCCGACCTCGGTCCGCCCGTCGTCCGCACCCACGCCCGTGCCCTCCTCACCGCCTCCGTCCGAGTCCTACCTCTCCGAGCTGGATGGTACCGCACCGAGCGTGCTTGACACCTCGGTCGACTTTGCGTGGGACGCTGGCGCGGCGGACGCTTCGGTTCTCAATCTCGTATCGTGGAAGCTCGACGTCAATGCTCGGGCCGAGGACGGCGTGGACCGACGAGGCTTCAATGGCGAGTCGAGCTGCGTTCGCTCCCATGGATCTAACTGACCTTCGTAGCCATTTCCACCGTGTTGAACCACCCTACAAAGAAGGCAAACCCTCTACGCTCCAGTCGAAAACCCTTGCCCCCGCTGGCGAACCCGCCGCCGAACCTGCCAAAACCTCCTCCACCATCCGCATACGATTCCTACCTCAAAGCCGTGACCCCGCTCTACGACTCGTTTCTCTCGGCTCAGGCCTCGTCGTCATCGTCCACCGTCCCTCTCACCGGCGAATACGACTCGAGACCACCATCCAAGCGCAAGGCCGATCTCCCGCCTCTCGACTCTGTCCCCGAGCTCTTCTTCGACACCTCTTTCAACCTGGCCAACCCGTCGACTTGGGCCGAGCTCGTCAACGATGACGGGCCGTCGTCACCAAGGGACGCGCCCGGTCAGGACGCCCTCTCGACCCACCTAGACACGCTAGAACGCCATCTCGTGCACGAGATCACCCTCCGTTCCACCTCGTTCTTCTCAGCGCTCTCAAACCTGCAAGACCTCCACTCGGAATCCGCATCGTGCCTGTCGCGGATATCAGAGCTGCAAAGCTCCCTCTCCGAGGTGGGCTCAATGCAGGCTAGGAAAGGGCTCGACATTTTCGATGCGCAAGAAAGGTTGCGAGTGTTGAGAATGACAGAGGACGGCGTGCGGACGATGGGAGAGCTCGAAGAGATGCTCAGGATCGCCCGAAGTGTTGTCGACCACGGGGACTGGGCGGCCGGCCTTGGGTGCCTGGAGGACGTCGTGCGGTGGTGGCAGCGACATGGAGATCTGAATGCGGGCCATGTGAACGGAGACGAGCCATCCTCAACGTTGCCGCTGTCCACGCTCCCTGCTCTTTCCGCCTTGCCAGAGGCGTTCGACGAACTCACCCATGCCATTGCCGAACAGCTCGAGGCATCGCTGTCGACACTGCTCCTGTCGATGCTCTCCTCGGCCGAGCCGGACGTGGCGATTGACAACGACGACATGCAAAGCTCGGTGGAGCCCATCCTGGTAGGACTGGTACGCTGCGGTCACGTTGATGGACTGGGAGGGCTCTGGAAAGAAGTCGTCACGGTGGCGGTGCGCGAAGGGTCTCGCAAGGTCAGTCGGGTCAGACGTGGACGCGGCATGGCTGACAACCGCTCCAGCACCTGCCAGTGGCACCCTCGGATGACGGTGATGTAGAAGGTAGAGCGGGTCCGGAGATGAGAGGGTATGTTGGCGCAAAGTCTTCCTCGGTGCTAGCTGATTCGTC